CAAAGGCGGAACGCCGACAGATCTGGCTCGTGGCAGGCAAAGCTCCGGAGTCAGCCGGCACACCTACGTGCTCCACAGGGCGATGGGCCAGTACGTCAGGGGCACTATAAGCAGTGATTGCTGGCACTGCCAAAAACTGCAAATTAGTCTGGTCAGTGTGAAGGGGCAAAGGTGTAAAAACCTCAGCTGTGCTCTGGCTCGAAGCCCTGGCAGAAATGGCACAGGCCCATGTTTGGCAGGGACCTGTGCTGCTGCCTGCACCCGGCTGAGCTGCGGTCCCTCTCCCCGCTCCCAAAGCTGTCCCTGCCATCAGCAGCCCGTCCACGGCCCGCGCGCTCTCCCACCGCTCACGCTTGGCCCTCTCGGCTCTGAAGTTTATCTACTGCCTTCTGTGAGCTTTGACGGGTGCTGCACATACAATTTTCACACTCAGGATGCTGAGTAACTCTCTGTGCCTTCCCTTTTGACATGGTTTTGCATTATTTATTTCCCTATTCTTACCTCTTACTTATTTTTTTATTTCAGGTCCCATTAATTCAGCGGCACATATTCCATAAATCTGCAAATTCAGGTAGTGGCAGTAGCAAGCCATGATTCAAAAGTTATGTGCCCAGATGATGTAGTATCAAGGACAACTCATTTCACAGCTTTCACTTTTACACTGAGCGTTTCCCCCCGAGCGGCAAGGCTTTCGCACTTCCCCTTGGGAAGCCTCAGCCCAAGTGGTTAATGGCTACAATTATCCACAAAATTCCCTGCTTTCCTGTAGCCACAACAGCTCACTTACAGCAAGAAGGAAAGACGAAAGCCAACAGTGTTCACAACTGAAACAATTCTCATTGTGTATCAGTCAATTTATACCCCTCTAACTACCTTTCAAAGGTAAACCCGTGCGCAGGCCAGACAGTTGCTCCTATCTAAGTTAACCAGATGGCAAAGCTTCCCCCCCCAGAGCAGTGACTACTGGAACATCAGCAACGCTTTCTGCAGTCCATAGCATCCCGACCAGGATCCACTAGACTTAGCCATGAAAATGCCTGATATTGCCTCATCTTTGGGTGGTCCAGACCGGTCAGCTCAGGCAGCCTTCCCCTGGTACCCGAACACAAAGCCAATCTCTCTCTATGATTAAGGGCATTTTCCCTCACCAACCTGATGCAATTTGCTGACCAAGCAATATCTGGGACCCACTAATGCTTTGTATTAACCTACACTGCTAGAAATTGTAGATAACGTGATCTAGAGCCTCAGAATCATGGTTCTCCTTCGGTCAGTCACCGTCCGCCTAACGAGTTCACCTTTAGTGCTTGACGGGAGATGTGACGCATTCCTGGCATCTCTTCAGGGTTTGCCTGGGAAAGCTTCAAACCTGAAGCACAGGGAGGATGGGATGAGCCCCGTCCCGATGGCGGGCTCAGGCCGGACACGCACAGTCGGCAAGGCTGGTATCACGTAAAGCTTGGCTGACCCGCCAGCCAAGGGCAGCAGAGCTACGAGGGCGTCTAGCGCCCGGACGTTCAGGAGAAAAGCTGCTGGGAGCAACTGCCACGTTTCCAGGCAGACACAAGCTGCCACGCCACAGGAACCTCACTTTGGAAGGGAAAGGGAAAGGTAGAAGGCTTTGGTGCTTTCTTACCTGGGGATCTGAAAACAGCAGTCCTGTCTCCTTGTGCCTTATGATGGCTGCATTCCCAGGAATGTTCCTTGCCAGCACTGGAACATCTAAATCCATCGCCTAGGGGAACACAGAAAATGGAAACAAGGTTTACTGGGGTTCAGCGATTCTGAGATGTTACTAACGACAACACTAAAATAAAACGAAACAACAAATCAAACTTCTTTCCCGTCTCTCCAACTTTTTAGTTGAAAAACACCGTGTCCAGGACGATGCCCTGTTTGGGATGTCTCGGCAATATTCTGTTTACATTTCTGTTAGCCTTGGAGCTTTGACCTTATGATCAGAGAAATCAACCCAGAAAGCCAATGAACAGCTGTTTCATCCTTTATTCTGTTCCCCATCAAAGAATGCAGCTTGTGCCCTGATGGGAGCTCCTGACACACGGCAAGTGCCCTCATCCTCCTGCCAAACCAACCTGTAAGACTACGGCATGTCTGGGCACTTTCCAAATAAGCAACGGTCCGTTCAGGGAAGGAGCTGTGTTGAAAGGAAGGGAGGGAAGAGAACACACAACCCCCTGCCCCAGCACCACGGCGCACGGCTCAAGTGCCGCTGTGCCAAAAGCAGTTCCCTGCAAACGGAGAGGGTTTGGATTTGGAGTGCCCCTGTGCCATGGGCCGCACGCCGGGAGCGACCCCAACCAGCGAGTGCCCGGCGGCAGTGCCCTGCGCACGGGTTGGACGGGTCCGTAAAAAAAAAAAAAAAACAAAAACACAAAACCACCACCAAAACCACCTTAAAAAGCATATCACAAGCCACGCTCATTCCGTTCGGTTTCCAAGCACCTCAGAGCCGATGGCTCACTGAGGCCGACCACTACGTTTGTGTTTCATGGCCGTAATTCCTGAGCTCTGAAGGGAAAGGCATTCTTTCTGTCTTAGGGAGTGGGAGGGCAGCAACTGCTGCATAGAAACCTCTCAGGTCCCAAAACACATCGGTACCGATGAATTACAGCTACTGAAAGGCAGAACAGATGGCCAAATGCAGAAGATGAGGGGCTGGCTTTACACCAGCCAGCCTTAAACAAATGGATGGGGCTGTAAATAATTACTGCATGGAGTGGCTTAGAATTCCAGTTAGATACTTAAGTCTATTTTTAAGCAGTAGAAAGAGTCATTTGCATTGTTGAAAATATGTATAATTTACTGACCTAGGTTCCACAAATAATAGCATAAAATAACAGTTTAGTCCATTGCCCATCTGTTTTGTTCCATTATTCTGACTGCAAATACCTTTTAATGCTGTTTCAGAAGGATGCAGGGTGTAAATTTCCGCTGTGGAAGCATGTTACACAATAAGCATTTCCAACCAGCAGTAGAGGAAATACAGGTTTTATTTACTATTTTGTCTTCTTGATTGTCCCTCATTTTCTTCCTCCCAGCCTATGCATCCTTTTGTTGGCCCCTCTTCAATTTTACTGCTCCACGGCTTCCGTTTTTTTCATTGTTATGGTTTGCTGTGACTTAGGTTCCAAACTCCCAGGCCTGTACTTCCCAGGCTGTCTAGGACGGGGTCTCGCCCTCCAGCATAACGGAGTCTGGCCACCTTCCTTTTCTAGGATCACTCCTTTTTTAATTGGAGCTTTTTTTGTAAAAGCTTAACAATCTGATGGTTTTTACAGCAGTTGGAATGCACTTGGGAGCACAGAAAAAGTCATGCAATGGTGCTGGAGTCAAAACCTTTTTCCTTCCAACCACATACAGAACACACACCATTCTCCAGCAGCAGTGCCCGTTTCACCACTGCCCAGGAGCATGCAGAATTCCCGAGCTTTCTGAGGAAGAGGTGTATTTTGAATGCCTGCTGCAATGCTTGTTTTCCCTTTTTCAGATGCCAACCAGAAAACAGATCAGTTATGGCAAAATCTCCGAGATACCAGTACTAGTCATTAGTTACGGTTTCTAGTTCTTTCGTACCTTGAGGCAGGTTGAAAGAGGTATTATATATTTATCTCATTTATCTATTATATATTTATCTCATACTAAAACACTGTTTACAGATTCATGACTGTTAAATTTTGAACCTTCAAGAGAATGAAAGTTGCATTTCCAAATTCAAGCAAGATGTTACCTCCAGCCTAGGACCACAATATCTTTACACATAGTTTTCTGCCTTATTAATTTAACAAGACCTCAACAGATGGCCCTTCCTACCGCTGGCCATCTCAAGCAGGGACTTGACTGTACTGGACTGACACTTCCGCTGAGAGAGGGACTTAAAGTCGGATATTTTACACGCACGCCATCAAATCCCACGGTACAACTGCCTAGGAAACAACAGAGAATACCAAAACCCCTACAACTCCGTCCTAAGACTAGCTTAGGGCATGATACGCACAGCTACATGTAAGATAAAAACGTAATACTAACTGATCTGCTCTGTATAAAACCACACACATATAGAAATAAATTCAGCATGAAAAGTAAAATGAATACTTCTTGATGATTCATCCTAATACGTACTTTTTTCTGACGTAAGAAAACTATCGAAATGGAGGAAGCTATACACTTTGCAAGTGTATGTAAGGACATCCTGCGCAGATGCTCCTTCACCAGAATAGTCTCGTGATTTCACACAGAGAAATACAACAGGAGGTATTTACTATTTTGTTTGTGTAGTTATTTTTTAGTGAGAAAAATAGCAGTTGGAAGAGGATGTTTCTAGGTGTTGGGTTTTTTTTTTTTTGACAGATCTGGGTATAAATTGAGAATAATTACTCAACATAACTGAGTAGCGGAAACTTAAAGGGACAGCTTTCCACTAAAGGTGGTGATAGACCATTTAATAGCCCTGACAGGATAATTCCCACCTAGAGAAGAGCTCAGAAAGAAAGTATTTCCTTGTTGATTTAGTCTGTAGTTATCAGATTCAAAACTTGTCAGAATTGCAACTTAAGAGAGCAGGAGCAGTGAGCAGGCTCAACATCACCTCTGAAGAAAATGGCAGTATCTTTTTTGCTTGGAGTTACCCCATATTTATTAAGATGCTGAAGTGACGGTTGTTTCTAGAGCGCTGTTGCTGTGAATCAGCAGCTGCTTCCACCTCTGAGCAGAGGCGTTTGGCAAAGGGGACACATGCTACCTTTCCATCCCGACGTGCGTAATTCCCACAGCGCCCACCTAGCTCTTACGTAGGAAGGACTTCCAGACGCGTGGAAGAAAAGCAGCCTGGAAACACAACCTGTGACGGCTCGTTAGAAACGGAGACGGGAGATTCACTGATACAAACCGTGTAACGGTTTCTCTGATCTGAGGTATCACAAACCAACAGCCAGCAGTCACCACCAAAACCGAACAGTAAAAGAACTTCCACTTCGAGTACAGCTGGTTTTTAACTCGAAAGCATTTGGTACTTGGCAGTGCCCTACTTTGACAGGCATGACATAAACCTGGTTATTAATTTTCAGTACTGATGGTAAAAAAATTAACTGAGCGTGTCATTCCTTCATTAATCATTTCAGAATTAAAGAACCGAATACAGCTCTTAGACTGCTTTTTGAAAGGGTGTAAAAACAAATGAAAGCCTGTTCTAGCAACATCATGAAGAAGAGGATGTTGAATCAAAAACTAGTGACAACCCCAGTAAATCAGCACAATTCTTATACCCCAGGTCTGTATTGTTAAATGAACAGGACTGATAAAATTACATTCTGCCCTTTAAAAAACAGACAGACAAAGCATAAAAAACTGTCAGTTCAAGGCAAGAAAACCTTAATTACTAACACTTGCCACTAGAAATATTTGAGTTTTGTCTTCACTAACTTTGAAACATGGACATAAAATGTTGACACACATTTCCAGTGATAAAAGGCGGTTCCAGATTCACTGTAACCTCACTGCAAACCCTCACCACGAAGATGCAGTTACCTCCAGGATCACAGCCGACATCCCCTCTGAAATGGAGCTGTTCACCACAGCAAAGCACCTCTTCATAGCAGCATGAAGGTCCTCTTGTGGCACCTCCTGCAGCAGATGGACCCCGGGTGACCTGGAAATGAAATGCACACAGACAGGACACTCCTTAAGGACACGCTCTAGGAACTCTTCCTAAAGCTTCGGGCGATGACGAAGGCGGTCAGAGCAATTCAGGCACGGTGCGCATGCGATCCCATGGGCAAGCCACCTGACCATGTTTCCATGAGCTTTTCCATCTCTAACTGCGGTTACAAACTCAGAACAGCCCAGTGTTCAGCCTCAGATGAAGTGAATGAGATCTGTAAGACTGGGGATCCTTGTGAAAAGCCAGCGTCTCCCCCGCCTGATGAGCCTGCCCCTGCCTCTCTAACCTTGACAGGAGATCACTAAGCCAGATGGAAACACGAGTGCAGGTGACGTTAAGGCCAGCTCCCTGCCCACTAGATGTTGTTAAACATTGTCTGATTGCCCAGTAACATCCAGCTTCTGCACAGATAAACAACTGTATCAACTGGAGAATCACAGAACGGTTTGGGTTGGAAGGGACCTTAAAGATCATCTAGTTCCAACCCCCCTGCCATGGGCAGGGACACCTTGCACTAGACCAGGTTGCTCAAAGCTATAAATGCATGATTACAGGAGTTGTCTTTCCCATGAATAACCCAATGGGAAACAAAAACATTATCTTTTGCTCCAAAAATGGAATTGCAAAGCACATTTTATGCAGATTATCAAATATTATCAATCAGAGATAGTATGGCTGTTCTATTCAAGTCAGACAATTAATTCTAGCTTCTGCAGACACACAAAAAAATCTCGTTTCTCTAATATTTATATCCTTGAATAAGGGAAACATATAACTAGGGATAGAAAGCAAGCTATACAGAGTTGTCTTGTCCATCTACTCATTTGATTCTACTCTATGATTCTATGAATTACCCACCAACTGCAAGCATGCAAAATCTTGCAGAGGCCAGGATGAAAGAAAGAATGAAAAGACCCAAAAGAGTAATAAATACAATTCAAACTGAGTCAGATGTCATTTAACACAAAACATGACGAGATCTCCTGGTTATTCTAAATTTAAAATGTGTAGAATACCTCCTCTGAGAATGTTACATCCCAAATAATCAGTCTACGTTTGTAGCCATAGAGAACTCTGCGTGCACATTCAGAGCCCTTACGCACAGTTTATCAACCCAGTGATTCGGCTGCTTCCGCCCGGAGCAGACTGAAGGCTTAACGCCAGCTTCTTACCTTTTCACTTTTTCCTGAACTTCACTTGTAAAAAGAGGATCCACCTGGAAAGGAAGAGACACAGGTTTATGGCACTACTCTAGCACTAGGGCACCCAGAAAAGAAAAACACACCTGAGGGTGTTCTTCACTGAAAGGTGTAACTGCGTGAGTGCGTGTGCCCTGACACCTGGCTGAGGTGAGGGGCAGCACCCTGACGCCCCACGCCACGTCTGTCGCTGTGCGTGCAGCTCTGTCAGGAAGGAAAGGAGCTCCTCCAGCTGCGGGTAGCATGGGAAGCAATCCGCATGCACACGGAGACAGTCGGATGGGCGGTGTAACGGAGACAGTCGGATGGGTGGTGCTGACAGAAGCACTTGTTTGAACACTGATAAACCACAGTTCCAACATACAGCCTCACACGCCAGAGTTCATAAAAGCCTGTCTAATTGGGCAATTAGAGGCAGCAGTTTCATTTACAAAACTCAACTATGTCTGCTATTTTCATTTAACGTGATTAAAAGGAATAAACAACTTGGAAACCCTTAACTAGACATGAAGAACAGTACTAGATTCTTTTATTAAGGCTGACTGACTACATTAGATGAACTTACGGCAGCTGGCATGACAGGCAGCAGAGGTAAGTACTGGGAACAACACGGCTTATTTTTTAATGCATTTTAGTATTTTTTCCCACATTATGAGATCGAGAACACTCACAAAACACTTTGGAAAACTCTTTTGGAAAGAAACCAGAATTTTAATTATGACTGTATACTCTGAACACGTTAAACAAGATTAATTATTTCATGAAAGTGGGCCTTCATAAATGAAAAGATTCCAGCGGGTCACTTGCCCCACGGAATGAATTCCTACAGAATGCAGCAGTAAAAGTCTTGCATACCTGCTTGGGAAAGCAGTTTTGTTAACAAGGGGGGAAACGTCAACTGCCCTTTCCTGAAGCACTGCCTGATCCTGGTGACAGCGTGATACAGATCCATACACTGAACCAGTTTGCCATGCCACAGGTTCCATGGACATTTCATGCTGAACTTCACAACTGCTATTTCTATATAAATATCTTTTCAGCTTTTACCCCAAAGTCCCATTTGGATGCTGAGTTCCTCTCAGGAGGAACAATACTGTTGCCTTTAAAATCAATGGAGTGCTTGCAAGTGATGAGATGAGCAGTGGGATATGGTCCTTTGCTCTTCTACCTTTAGAAGGATGAGAAAAACTACAGTCTGTGACTCATAACATTTGTAAGATATTAATTTCTATCCCACCTACTTCTGCGGAAGCCAAGACATTGCCATCTGCCTCATAAAGATAACAGTCCTTCAGATATTCCAAGAAGCCTGGCCTGGATATGAGGACTGAGCTAAAACACTACTGTCAGGACGGGTGTAGCAGGGACTTAGAGAAGCGATCCCCCTGAGCTACATTTAGGAACTTGAGGGGGCACAGTTATCTAAGCCCAGGCTCAATATAACAGAAATTAGATACAACATAAGCTGTTCAGTAAGCTGGAAGCGCACTTAAAAGGTGTGAATGCTCCAAAGCCAACTGACTGTGGCGGGATGCCTAGGAACCTGGCACAGGCTCAGGAAAGCTACTGGAAAGAAAAGTATGTTGCTTCCACCCAAAACATCTCCATGATCCAGCTCTTCTACCCCTAAGTGTTTGTTGCCACATTCTATCATCTTGTCACCTATCAACGTAGCAGGAAAGTACAATCATCAGTTACCCAGCATCTTTACCACTGTGATCTGATCGATTTTGAGTAGGCTCAGCAAAAGCAAGCTTCCCCTACACCTGAAAAGACAACTGCTGCCTGCAAGCAACACAAACTGCCTGCAGCAAAGGCACCGGCAGTGTAAGGGCCTGGCAAACACTCACGCAGCCGTGCCGCATCATCTTTTCTGTACACCACGCGCCTAACGAAATCCAGCCTCCTCTGGCTTCACGTGTAGCTCTGCTACTGCAAGCTGGGACAATCAACAACGTGTAAGAAATACAGTTTTAATTCAGCTGAAACAATGGGGATCTAAATTAATACAACTTCAGGTCTAAAATAAAAATATCAAACCTTTTTAAGAAATACTGAACTACTCATTTCACCATTTCTAACAGAAGTTTCATTTCCAGGGAGTTTACCTTGAAGAACAAGCAAAAAACGGTCAGGAAGAGTTCTCAGCTCGATGGCAGCAGTAGCTCTGACCTTTCAAAAACCCGCCCTGTGAGCAGGACACCTACTGAGGATGCCGCCCGCAGAATTCCTCAGCACGCCGGAGAATCTGCAATTGTGTCTTTGTGTCCCGTCTGATTCTCCCCAGTACCGTGCTCCAGGCTATCCTGGAGCAGGTTATTAGGCTTCCCCTAGTTGCTTAGTTTAGTTGTGTCAACAGCTGCTGCAGTTCAGAACTAGCCCAGAAAACAGAGGGGGCAACAGCCCTGCGCTACAGAGATGGGCTGCGTGAGCCAACAGGTACCTCCCTCGGGGGGGGACGACACATTATTCAACTGAAACTGTCTCAACAGGCATGGAAGGAAGCTGGACAGAAGAGAAATAGCTGCCTGTGGAAAAGAGCACCATTAGAAACAGCAAGAGCCTGTGCTGTCGGTAACGACGGTTAAGAATGACGCGGAGTTCCAAGTGAGCGCCGAGAGGGCACCCAGCAGCTGAGCCAAGTTTGGTGGCCTCAGCGTTTCACAGTTTCATCAGCTTCCGTTCTCGGAATATAGAGCCGCGGAAAATCAGCTCTTGTTTCAAATTTCACTACGGAAACGAACAAAAGGCAAACTGGAAGACAAGATAAATGATAAAAATCTTACATTATACGGTACCCGATCCTGCAGCGTTACTTAGTCTGCGCCGTCTGAGACGGCAAAGGCAGGGAAAGGTTGTAACCGTATGGAAGCAAAGCTGGAAATAACATGTGCACCCTTTTCTTTATATCCTTAATTAACATAACCATGCGATTATATTAATTAATATAATCACAATAGCATGACTGGCTTCACTGATTTTCTTAAAATTTTGTGGTTTGAGAAGTAATACGAGTAAGAAAAGTAGTGCTAAATACAAACAGAGCCGAGATTTATTCTCATCCTTTGGCAGTACTTTAGTACTGTGGGAGAAATAGGTTTTTAAATATTTTAAGGATGTTCAGCCCTTGATCCCACCTACGCACTGCCACAGGGTTATTTCTGGTAGCTTACTGTAAGGACGTTAGCTTATGAAAAAGTGAAGCAAATTCAAAAAGACGGCTAAAATGTATAAAATCCTCACTGGAGGCAGCAATGCGCCCTTTGATTGTAAAGCACAGCTTCATTACACCTGCTCCACATTTGCCTTCCACACCAGTTCACTTCCAAATCATTTTGTGTATCAGCGTGGAAAAGAATGCAGGTAAAATAAAACCCTACAAACAACTTTTAAAAATGAAATCCTATGTCCCAGAATATATAGAGAACATAATGGGAAGAGAAAATAGAAAAATAGTTCTTATTTACCCATTCAGATTCTACTTATTTTCTTATAAAACTGCCCACCTGCAAGTTTTCAGGCTCATGCAAAGATGAATCAGGGATGAGAATTACAGAGGGACACGAACACATTACCCAGATGAGACAGTGAAGCTTTTAGTACCCTTTTAGCATCAGGAAGAGTTTGTTCCACGTGACACAGCTGCCTGCTCATACCTTCCTTCCATACCTCATACCTTCATAGGTCCCTTCCAACCCTAACCGTTCTATGATTCTATGATACTATGATTCTACCTTCTCCACTGGCTGGATTAAGGCTCCAGGATGCCATTCCAAGACCTCTGCTGATCTACGGACACGCGCACGGCTCCGCTGATCTCTTCCCCAGGAGTCCCGCGCGTGGTTCTGGTGGTTTGGCGTGAGGTACGTTCCCTCGACACAGGCTCCCACGAGGAGCAGAAGCAGGACCGTGTCCTGCAGCCACGTGCAGGGCTGTGGGAAGCACCGGCCACCAACCTTGTTCTGCACAGGATGAGGAGCGCTCCCGTGGCTCGGAGCCAGTCAGACTGGGATCTGGGAAACACCCCTCTGTCCCTCCCGGTTCTGAAAATAACCCGGCGTTTTGTAGAGCTGCGCTGTCCCCGCGCTGCGCTTCAGAGCGTCAGAACGTGTACAACAGGTACAGTGTCACGGGTGGCTCCCTCGAAAGGCCTCAGCTTCTGCGGGTGAAATCAGGCAGATCTCGCAGCGGAAGTACAGAATCAACGGCGGATACTCAAAAACCCAGTTTTGAGAGACCGTTAGAAGACAAAGGATGGGCAGGCGGCTTACGCAACGCTTCGCTCCCTTTCGAGCCCTGAGAAGACTCAGACGTGGCAGGAGCAGGGCATGCCTCCCCCTTCTGAGTGTCTTCTGACTCGGAAGCCACTGCAACCCGAGTGCACATTTTACCTGAAAAGTTAGGGAATATGGATGAGCTGCCACTACACATATTGTTGTGAAAAGACAGAATTAGAATTTATAACTGCAGAATTCGTTAAACAGGATGTTAGGGTTTAGGGGGAAAACGAAATCTCCCATTAATATTGGCCAGCACTTTTACTGAAATACAGATAACTCATTTGGAAGGAATGATACCAACTCAGCTTAATCTGAGATGTGGCCATACGAGAACAGCTGTTTCTGATTTTATTTCTTTTAGTCAACCCACCTTCCCCCTCAGCTTGGCTTTAGGGCACTCGGACTCCACATGTGAGACAGACTTCACCACTTCCGTTTGTCAGCTCCAGCTCTGTCCTTGCTGCCTGGTGTCAGACAGAAGCCTAACACCACTTTCTGCCTGCTGACAAGTGTTAATTGTGTACAAACTGAGAAACGGCATCAAAATCCAAAGGGAATGGCACAAAGACACAATCCTCTGCGTGAACAGAAGCCGTGAGAACAAGGATAATGAGCATCTCGCATCACCTCACAGTATGAAAAATTCTGATTAACAATACCTGCTAAAAATTCTTCTGGTTGGCAACTGTTTGATAGGCTCATTTATCGATTGTTCACACTGAAACTGGCATTTCTAATATTTTATCTGCATTAGTACTTTCTGATCATCTACAAACTTTACTACTATCCCACATGCATAAAACCAGAAGCCAATCCTAAAATCCAAATGTTTTTATACTTTTTATCTTCAGAAGTTGATTCTGTAGACAAATGAAACATTAAAGGCTTTGATCTAACAGAACATAATAGACAAAAAGCTGTGTGCTGGAGCTAAACATAAAATTACAGTTATCCAGCTGCAATAGCCCTGTATAAAACCAGCCCAAGCCTTCTACACAAAAAATCAGCATATGTAAAACAAGTCTTCATCTGCTGTGAACTCTCCAGTTGGAGCGAGTCCAGAGGAGGCCACGGAGATGCTCTGAGGGCTGGAGCCCCTCTGCCCTGGGGACAGGCTGGGAGAGCTGGGATGTTCAGCCTTGAGAAGGGAAGGCTCTGGGAGACCTTAGAGCCCCTTCCAGTACCTGAAGGGGCTACAAGGAAGCTGGGGGGGACTTTTTACAAGGGCCTGTAGTGACAGGACAAGGGGTAACGGGTTTTAATTGAAAGTGGGGAGGTTTAGATTGGATATCAGGAAGAAATTCTTCCCGGAGAGGGTGGGGAGGCCCTGGGACAGGTTGCCCAGAGAAGCTGTGGATGCCCCATCCCTGGGAGTGTCCAAGGCCAGGCTGGATGAGGCTTGGAGCAACCAGGTCTAGTGCAAGGTGTCCCTGCCCATGGCAGGGGGGTTGGAACTAGATGATCCTTAAGGTCCCTTCCAGCCCAAACCGTTCTGCGATTCTATGATCTTAGTTCTCCTGGTAACAGTTTGTGTTACCCCAAAACCGTTCTGTGATTCTATGATCTTAGTTCTGCTGGTAACAGTTTGCGTTATCCCACCTGAGCTGGAGCTGGGCTACCCCAGTGCACATCCTCACAGAAAAACCCACCTCACTGTGCTCCCCTTTGTGGTGCAGAAGCAGAGCCCTGCTGAGCAAGGAGGAGGCCTTTGAGGGCAGCAGGACTCTGCACTCGGGAAGTCAAAGCACTGGAATCGCTTCCACTTCCACAGTTTAAGCTGTTGTGAACAGCCTTTACAGCCAGCAGGTTTGTACCTTCCTGTCTCTGGAACAGAGGCCCTCTGACTTGGCTTCCATTTGGAAAGACCTATGGCGGTACCTCAGCTGCCAGTAAATGGAAGTGCTTAGGAATAAATGTACAAATAAAATAAAAATTACAGCAACTTACGGCAGGTCCAATTATGCCCAGATGGACACCGGGATCCTTTCTGTGCCAATCTAAACCAGAGGAGAAACAGCTTTAGTAATCAAGAGTATTAGATTTTAGCTAATTCTTTTTCTGAAATCCCTGTTAATAGGTGCATAAGTAAAGAAGAATTAGGCAAATATTGTATTACTACTTAAAAGACTGAACGTGTACCAGATTTCATGCCCAGCCCTCGCACTGCTCCTCAGAATCCAAGTGATTAGCATATCTGAAAGTTAGTGTTTAGTATTTCTGCTTCATGCAATCTCTTATGATTCAAGGGTTATTTAACCAAGCTCAGATATTAATTTTGCACCATCGTAAAAGAACAGTGCTCTGTAGAATGCGCTGACTCTGGCCCCTAAATGAAATTATTTGAAGTTTTCCTCCTACATAAAGAACCGTGTGGAGGTGACTGCGACCGCTACAATAACACTTAGTGACTGGAGTGTGCCAAAGCAGAACAAAACCCGCCACTTGGCTTCAATAAACTGCATTTGTTACTCAGTGCCAGAAGGTGGTAAAGGCTCAGGGAAGTAAACTGAATAGTGGAGGCTGAAGTTCCAGCTCGGGATGTCTGAGCCGTTTACAGGTGCACACAGAACCCAGCAAAACATTCACCGCGTGACCAGGAGAAAACCGCAGCCGAGTTTACAGCAGGGTGGTAAAATCTGCTTACAGAGTTACATTAATTAGCAGCCATGCAAGTTGGTGTAACGGCCAAAGGACAGTAAGATTCAAAAAGTTCTTTTGAAGTAGGGGAACTCAGCTTTTGTCTTCCATTACTAGTGTGTGTAACCATGTCACAGTTTTCCCAGCATGTGAAACCATCGAACACTGCTGTGATTTTAGTGCTCTGTTACTCCCAACAGGCTGGGGACGTACAGAACTGACGTGTCGAACAGATCCATGGTTACACCAGTGGGTTTTTTTAAATGTAGATATGTTATGAGGTTTTTCTGCAACAAATAAGTAAGCTCGTGCCAGACTTTGATTAAAAGAAATGCATCCGAATGCAGGGACAAAACAAAGGTGTTCCAGTCGCCGGTACTCACCTGAAAACGCATCTACTAAATACAGAGGGTCTTTGACTCGCCGAAGCCCGCAGACCAACAGAAACACGTGTAAACCTCCCGCATCTGTAGGAATGTCTGTAACAAACAATGCAGACAAAACCGCTGAACGCTCCAAAGTGTTTCAGGAATGGCACATACGGAATGCACATGCGATACATGGGAACACATCGTAGGGCAAGGGGCAGTGGTTTTAAACTGGAAGAAGGTAGATCTAGGCCATAAGGAAGAAATGTTTACGATGAGAAGGATTCCCATCATTGTTCCCTCTGTTTCTTGCTCTCAGATCAATCTTCAAATCCACTCAGTGGAGAACTCAATCGTGCACATGATTTTTAAGGGCACAGTGCGGGATTTGGAGAAATGGCCGGTGGCTGGCATTCTCGAACACCAGCTCCCAGCTCTGACTGACTGGGCAACTACAGATCACTGTGTTTCTCAATTCTTCTACCCCTAAGAAGAAAAAACCTGCATCCATATACCACCACCTGTTTCGAGGATATTGTGAGGTTTAGGTAATCAGTAGCTGTAGGGATTAGAGCTCTTGAGCTGACACTTCTTGTTATGAAAGATCAGGTAAATGTCCCACAGTTATCTATCTCTAATATGCCAGCACTGCTACCGAATCATTAACAAGAAGTTAAATAATTGCAAAGCATTTATTTTAACCTTCTTGCTAAGAAACACGAATGAAGAATAACTTGGGGAAAGATCTCAACAAGGGAATTTTTAACATTGAAAATCTCTCTTGCAAATACACAGCAATAATTTATAAACAAGGAATAATTCTGTAGGCTGTATTAGGGGAAGAATATGTGATGTATGATGCTGCAGTCGCCAGAGGCTCTGTGACAGCACAATTAATTCAAGCACATACTTCTGGAGAAAGGTCACTATGGGATGAACTTGGGTAAAACGTGTTGATGATGAACCAACATAATTCACAAGTTGCTGAAGGAACACACATAACAACAACATAATTTAATAAACACGAGAGGGGCTGAAATGCTCGTGTTTGATTTACCGTACTGAGCAAACCAGTTTGCTGTCCTTCAGTTCAGCTGTTTACTGAGCTCACGCACTATTTACACCGGGCGGGTCAAGGAGCATCAGTGCTGCTCTGCAGCAGCGGGCTGGTGTGGGACATTCGCACAGGGCTGACACCCGGGCTCTGTCACCCCGCTACCAGGAGGGTGTGCTGCGTGGTGGGAAGGACTGGGGGATGCACGACTGGCAGAGGAAGGCAGCAGGACGGGCGGTGGGATGGTGACCTGCTGCTGCTGAGCACTGCTGGGCTCCCTCCCCTCCCCACCAGCTGCAGGGACCACTCGGCCACTTACCCAGCATCACCGAATTGCTGAAATTTGTAATTTAGGATCACCCAGACTTGGTACCAGCTCACGGTGTTGTAAACCTTAACTGCAGGTCCTGCTGCAGGACCTGGAAGGAATATGCCAGGAATACCTCCCCTCACGTCAAGGAACCGGATTCACATGAGCTCTGCATCAAAATGCTATTTTGTGGGAAGGGGAGAATCAAGAGTGGCAGTTCTCAACACACTCAAGTACTATGGCTTTGAGAAGTAAAACCCAGTGCAGGGACTTCTAAATGCTCCCTGTCACAGGGTTCGTTACTGAGTCTGTTCCATTTAACTTAACCAGCTTGAGCTGTCGAGAGTGGCTGCAGCAGACACGGTACGTAATATTTTACTGATTATTGAACCAAGAAGTAATTTGTAATTTATAATACAGAAACATTTGGGTTGAAAAAGCCATTCTTCTGGTGCAACGGGCCATTAATACTGTTTGTTGTTAAGACGTGCAGCAGTGGTTTTGATTCGTGACAGGAACTCACACAAAACAAACTGCTAGAAAGTGTCAGCAAACTTCAGATCGCGTTTTAACTACCCATAGCCCAAATGTTCATTTTAAATTATGAACCCCCACCTATCAACATTCTGCTCTGGCTGTTCTGGAACAAAGTTAAAGGCAGTGCTGAACGCCCCGTCAGACCGCGGTGGGAAACCCTCCTGTTCCCCCAGAGATGACGGAGTTATTGCGCTCTTGCTGTGACAGTGCCCTAATCACCATGAACCACGTTTGAAATAACTGCTCCTTTTTATTTCTAACATGGCTTTCGGCCTTTCCATTTTACCAGACAAGGGTTCCAAGTGCTGTGACAAGGAAAAGCCCAGAGAGGCCGGTGCTGGGTGGCCCAGGCTGCCATTCTGCTGGCTGCACAGACCCTAACCCAATGGACAAACAGCAAACTGGCCCCACAGGCAGCAACTGTGCTTTGTAATTTGGCTTCTTCCATTCAGTTCCTGTGGCATTTAAAGGTACTTCTCCCATGAAACTCATCAGCAACAGTCTAATTAATTTCCCTAGTGAAATTACCAAAGATAATATGCATCCATGAAAACAGCCCACTTACTTGACCTTCGTGATTCTGAAGAGATATTCACAACCTTGAGCTCTCACTGCAGACTTTCCCTTTCATGCAGCTTTACAAAGCCCTAATTTGCTATCACGATACGTTATGCACTTTTCTCTGAAACAGCAGATACTGGGTACACAGACTCCAGACGGGATGCTATGTGGCATTCCCAAAAACTGTCCTGGAAGGGCTGAGTCAAAAAGAAAGCTTTGCCTCTGCCATTCAATTCTGTGAAGCAAAGTTTAGTTTTACATTAGTAAACAGTCAAAAACCAGTAAATCAGTGTAGTTTTACATTACTGTACGCTGCAGGTCTTAGTCGTCATGCCAGTCGCATTCACAGGCACCTTCCCCGCTCGATTCACTCAGGAGCATGCCTGGCACTCCCGAGGAGCCGGCGTTCCCGCATCCCACCGGCTTTGTTCAGTGCCGGGAGTTCACCCACTCTCTGCCTACTTAACATCAACTTCAGCACTTGTGTGCCCCCTTAGCCATCTGCTCCTCCACCCAGAAGGGTTCCAGCCACACATCACCTTGATGCCTGCAGCGGTGTTCTCCCACCAGCACCCGGCTGTGAGAGAAAAGGCAGCTGCCCCTACAGGAAAGCCATCGTTTCCCTGTGCTTCATCCTCGCAAGAACGCCGAGAAGGGGTGCGTATTACGGGAATAACTGCAATAGCTGCCTTTACCAGTGTAGCCATCAGCTGGGCGAAACTGGCATTCGAAAGATTTGGAACAGCATGTTGTGCTTCACTGTCCCTTTGCTCATGCATCCTCCTGTTTGCGTTGCAACGAAAACAGAGAATGGAGAGACCTGTCCGTAACCGCTGGGGAAGTAAAACCAAACCAAACCCCAAAAAAGACTGCATGGCAAGTGCTTTCCAGCCCTGCTTCAGAATCCCTACACACTGAACGCACATCAGGTCTTGTTGCTGTAACCAACATCTTCAGCGTCAAAAATAACTGTCCAGCGTCGGGGCAAGATGCTGCCCCAAACGTGCTGTCAGTGCTCGCGGCTCTAGTCTGGTTTGTCACACCAGCTTTGTAAAAACCAGCTGGATGTTGGCCCCAGCGCGTCCCGAGCCCGCCTGGCCATTTGCAGGACGGGGGGGTCAGAACAGGCACTGAGGGGGTTATGAAAACAGCCTCCCCTCGCTGTGACAGTCTGCGCTCCTGATACGGCACACGGGACCACGGGTGGGCACCGATGAGCCACGGGAGAGCTGGAATGAGGCAGAGCCAGGGGAAGACGAAGACTGACACGGGACGCCTGCAGTCACGCAACTCCTTTTGTGATGGAGCAGCGGTGGGATTGCGCTGCTCAAATCGAAACCCAGCGCGTAGCACTGACACGCGCCACGCTCCAGCGTGGGATCACGTGACCCACTGCTGTGCCAGCGTTGGAGCCTGCTACAGAATATACAAAAAGCAATTTTCTCACCACTTGCTCAAATAAAGAAAATAAAAATATTTTTCTTATTTAGAAGCCTTTGCTGTGCTTTTGTAGGCTTTTTCTGAAATCTCTAGAGAGGAGAAAAATATAAAAATGAACAATGTAATTTTTCATTCAAAGTTATTATTTTGGACCTGAACCAATAACCTCACAAAAGCCAAAGTTCTTAAAATGTGTTGATCCCTTTACAGCTTAAAATCCAATTTGTACTAGAGGTTAAATATATTTCATCAGTTGTATCAACATCGGGCTTACAGGTTATAATTTAGGATACCGAGATTGCCCAGTAACATAAAAAAACAGTCTGCAGTCAAAATATTTCTTGTTAATATCGGGCCAAGGATGATCAAAGATTTTAAGATTAATTTTCCAACCTTGATTTCGTGCTCACAGTTGTGATCTATGCACCTCTAGGGAACAATACCCAGTCTGTATTATTTGGGCTCAGTCCTCCATTTTCGGGTTTGTTCAGAAACAAAATCTGGGCCGTGACACAACGGTGAGGTGAATGACCATTCTCATTTTCCTTCCTGCTCACCATGAACGACAGCGTCTTTGACTTCCCTTGCAAACTGCCCATCTACCCACCTCCTGCGCATCTGAAAGTATTCACTCATCTCCTAGAAAGGGAAAGCCACGGGTTTACTGCTGAGATTTCAGTCTCTAAGAAGGCTATTTTATTTTCTTGAGTTCAGAACAGATAAATCTGTCCAACACTGGCGTGCATTTTTGATACTCTAAATCTTTCAAAGTGTGGCTATCCTTTCCGTTCAGCTCCCGACACACAGCCGAAATCCGCTCGCTCGCTCTTTTCGTCTCTGCGCCCCAGGGGCTCAAAATGAGCCTCTCTCACAACTTTTGGAACTATAAACTCCAGGCTGCTCAGAGCAACCAAGTTCCCCAGCCCGCTGGACGGGCAGCGTCCCACGGCAGCACAGCCTCAACATGCTCTCGTATTTTACATTGACCCCAAGTTTCTAATTGGAGTCACTGATGACACACAACTTCAGCAATTATTAGCCCAATTAGGTCTTCTTTCAGCAACATACTTAACCACCTGCAGATCTCAAACATCTACTAATGTTTTACGAAGTTGAGCTTTTATTTTCTAAGCAACTGGTTTCTTAGAAATTCAGGGGAAGCAGAGGCAATAACTATATCCAGGATGTTTATCCTGCTCTTCTCATTCAATACTGAGTAATTGCCAGATTTGCCAATATGTCTGGGAAGACATTAAATGAACCTGTTAACTTCCAGGGGCAGGCCATTAATCCACAAAAATTAGACTTCAAAATTCTCCAGCAATCCTTTCTTCCTGTTTCTCATTATTTCTAACAGATCAAACAAAAAAATGCTCTTTGCTTTCAGATCTGTAGGGTCACACAGTTCACTGCTGCTATCGTATCATTATTTCTAAGGTCAGCCAGATATCTGCACAAACTTTTACTATTTAATTTTTCTTACGTGAGTCTTTTTTCCAGCATAGCTGGCATAGGCAGAGAAAAATATAATGCCTCAGTAAAACCCTGTCTGTGTCAGGACAGGTTATGCAAACCTTAAGTTCTGAAAACAGCTGTGCTATGAGGCAGAAATTATCTGAGCAGAAAAATCAAACTACAAAAGTATGCTGCATGTTTTATTTGCTAGTGCAGTAAGCGTGTGACCCTACGAATCTACGATACCTTCCAGAAAACCAGTTTGGAGTCTCATCTGTTGGGTAAACGAGCTTTCTCAGCTCATTAGTATTGGCTTTGTTAGTTACTTCCATCTGCTAATCACATGATGTCTAAGTCTTACAAGCTACTGCCACACTCCACTGAAGTCACAAGGAGCCTTTCCTCACGGTGTGACGACATCAGGTCTGTCTTTGATCTGCAGCACTCCACCAGAAAACCAGTTTGGAGTCTCATCTGTTGGGTAAACGAGCTTTCTCAGCTCATTAGTATTGGCTTTGTTAGTTACTTCCATCTGCTAATCACATGATGTCTAAGTCTTACAAGCTACTGCCACACTCCACTGAAGTCACAAGGAGCCTTTCCTCACGGTGTGACGACATCAGGTCTGTCTTTGATCTGTAGCACTCCTTGAGCTACGCTGTTGGAGAAGACCAGTCTCCGTTTTCCTATTTACTTAGGCTGTCCTGTCACTGTCTCTCTCAAGTCAACTGGTAGGCCTTTAAAGGTGCTAACAAAACCCACCACGCTGTATGCATTCCTGTACTATGAGGTCAGCGAAAACACTTTGCTCATCTGGTCTGACTCCAGACTAACATGGGCTCTAGTAGTCCCTTAAACAGTCTGAGTTACTGGCACCATTGTCTTCTTGACGTCTGCACTGAAACCTGCACTTGGTTCAGCTTTCTGGGTTGACTGCTGTTGCTCAGATTCTCCCACCCACCCAAGACAAACTGTGGAGCTGACTGTAATCAGAATGCAAATTAACTTCAAAAGCTGTTTTTTGGTAGGTTTAGCCACTGTGTGTTTTAACAGCTGGCCACTGAAAACGCTGCAGCTGGGAGCTGGCCCACCAACATGACACAGGCATCACCTCTGCAACTCTGCAGTCTGCTGCCCAGACTGCAAAGCCACTTATCCCATGACTGTGGTGCAGGGATTGTATCGCGCCCGTAACACCCACAACAAAAACCTTTCCGTGCTGCTCCAGCGTGTGTCAGGCAAGCGCTGTTCACGCCGGCGGCCCACGCTGCCCCATGAAACGCACGGAAAGCTGGGCATCCTCAGCTTTGGGCTGGTCCTTTCACATGTGCGGGGTGCCGGTGGGGAAGTCTCCCACAGGAAAATGTGTCTGGTGCCTTCTGCCACTCCAGCCTACCATCACTCCCTCTGGACGCCAAGACACTGACCGCAAGAGACTATCTATGTGCTGGTGTTGCAGTTAGCGCAGCCAAATGTTGTCTCTTCTGTGACCAGAAAACATCGGTACAAAGAATATGCATAGTAAGTCATATTCACAATAAGAGATGCAATAGAATTTCATGGAAAAGTTCTTTTAAGAAGTTCATAAATGCCAGGAGGTGACCAGGAGAGGAGGGCTGTCTGTGCAGGAAAGGCAGGGATCTTATCAAGAGCACTGCACTGCATGAGCACACGCTATCAAAATCATATTCTGAGCAAAGCTGCCTACGACTTCTCAGAGTTTTCTCCTGATTGCTCCAAGCCTAGTAGAATTTTAAACACCTTGAAACTGCAAATCCTCAGAGAAGCAGTTCAGTGGGAACTCCTAACTAGCCTGTGCTAAGCGCAAAGTACAGCCAAAAACCCACCTCCACGCGCAGTAGTGGCAGAAGTGGAAACTGTGGGCTTCTGCCAGAGACGGACCCGGAGACAAGACGGAAGAGTCACGAAAACCAGTAGTGAATAAGGGGGTGCTGGTTTCCAGCCATTACTTAACCGGCACAGCTGCTGAGTCACATCTCAGTTTGCTTTTCCTGTACATTATGAATTATTCTGCGCTTTTGCATTAGTACACATTAGGCAAAAACATCTCTAATATATTAGATGAGGTGCACTTCAGGGGGAGTTTCCCCCCTCCTCAATCTGTTGACTGCTCTCTTAATCATAAAATGGTCAGACATCAACACGAAGGCTGCGCTAGCAAGTGACAAATCATTTTGCTTCAGAAAGTTATTCATCTTGGCGGTGCTGTGCTCGCGTGCCATGATTTACTGAGAACAAAATAACCTCACAATGCTCAATTTAAAATTGGACACTGGTTCTGAATAACAGCATGCAATTACTGGTGTGATAAAGCAACTGAGCAGTAAGGATTCATTTGTAACAGAGGAACAGCCATACCATCAGAGAGCAGATTGATTAATATAATATTGAAATACTTCTATCACAGCAAATGAAGATCCTTTTGGGGAAAGGCAGCTGGAGCAATTAAAGCATTGCCCAGATTAGATGACCTTAAATCAGGTCATCTGCCTCACATGCCACCACTTTGGTGGAACACAGACAGGCTCCAGATCAAGAGCAAATAACAAAAAAGCATGGACACACATTTCCCTTCTTCAACTCCCCTGCTCTTCTGCAAAGACAGACACAGGCCCTGGCTCAGCCGCAGAGCACAGCAAGCCGGAGTGGGGGACCAGTCACCATCTAAGGGGCACTGACCCAGACGTCATGAGCATTTCATCGTTTGGTGCAATTCAGCCCTGGACAAACAGAAATCTGGAGGCAGCCTGGGTATTTTACTAACCCGACTAAGCTGATCGATATTCTGCCTGAACCACACTGGAGTTTTTAGTTTTTCCTATCATTAAGTCATTTTATTACATGATCAGTTAACCTTCACATTCCAAATGTCTTTTGTCATCGACATCCAGTGAGAATCAGGGTAGCAAACACAGAGAAAGTGAGTTTTACCTGCACTGTGTAGAAATCTATGCCAGTCGAAGGTTTCCCTGGGAGTGGTCTTAATGCCTGTGTTGAAAAAAAAAGGAGAAACACCACGTGTTTGGTTGGTCCCTGGATGGCTGAACAGTGGTTCTTGAAGTCCCACCCCAAGAAAACAGTATTTCTCTCAAGTACGCTGAATTCCATGCACAGCGGTTTCCATCCCAAGTCTTTCTCATCCCAACACTGTCAGTTTGTCTGCACAATTCTTCTATAGTCATCAGACTGAAATTCCGTGGAAAATTGTGCACAATCACACAGAGCATGAACTTCTTTAGCGACCCAGGGAGTTAAACTCATTACAGCGTGTTCAATTTGGCCTTTTGAAATCTACATGTGAGGGGATATTATCAGAGGGAGAATATTATCCCAAAACTGATACAGGCCAGCTGAGATGCCAGGAACAGAGGGCAAAGAAATTAAATTAAATTTCTGTCAAAATTAAATATTAATCTAAACTGAATATTAATTTATTTAATTTGCCTTACATGTTACAGATTAATTATTTTACTAAGGAAATTATTTTATTCATTTATTGAATCTCTTAGGTAACTATTACCTCACAAGGGGCTTAAATATAGGCTAAATATGGGCTAAATAGACCTCACCATGAGTTAATTCAACGTAACGGTTTTGAAAATAATTTTATTTTCTCTGGAAGTGAAATATTCAAAATCGAATGAGTTTTCAAATCTGTAGACAGTTACTTTTAGGTAAATAAAAATCAGGAGCTGTAGCTTAAGTGATCACATCTAAAATACTGAGTTGAGTGCTCCCTAGACTACTCACTTAGGGCTCAGATATCAGTTGGGTGTCATTAGGCTGGGAACGCCAAGCATTCCAAGGGATCTGGAGTTTCCCAGAACAACTATTCAGCATCAAAACTTCCATAAGCCTTGGCGAAAGCTCGGCGTTACCGTAGGTGTTACCTTAGCTTTCAGATTCCTACTATAAGGCCTTTGGGAAAACTTCTTCAAAAGCACCAAATAAGTTGAAAATTTAGGCTAAGAGACTGACATCCTGACCCAAGTGACGTCAAGGGCAAAAAGCTCAACTTCAGTGGAGCCAGGACTTCAAACCCCACCCCCATTTCAGCAAAATACTTCCAGGGCAAAGGAAGTAGAGACTTAAACAAACAAGTACTAAACACGTGATTCAAATATATGGAATGCCTTAGTCAAGATTTCAAAACACTCACCTTGAGCTTGGACGTAGATTTTCTCCCTCGCATGTGGCTTAAAGGAGAGGGAGAAGAAAAGTAACTTTTTCATAGTTCATTGTAAAATATCTGGTCAGTTGTCAGAAAAACCCAAGTAATATAACAAAATGCACATCAGCATGGTTTTCTTTTTACTATCAAAGATCAAACCAGACTGTTAGAAAGACACACTGATGTAACACCAAAAGCCAGCGGTCAGCAGTGTGAACATTTACCACGAACATTTACAGCATCAGTGAATCAATTTTGTAATTAACACAACTACTGAGTTAGTAAAAATGTCTTCAGTTTATCTGTGCCCTTTCTCATAATTAATACCTGCTTATTGCATAGAAAAATGTTTCCCTAGACTAAAACGATCATCAGCTTTGTGTTCGGACATTCTTAGGTGCTCTAAAAGCAACTGGTGTCAATATAACCTTGAATTCCATTATTTCGAGCAGTTCCAGCAACGCTACTGCTTAATTTAGCATCGCAGCATCCAGAACCAAACAACCTTCTTTGGAGCACCAGTCCCCACTGTCCTGAGACTCAACCTTCCCTCCCGTTTGGGCCAATTCACTGTGTGGAGAGGCAGAGTCCCAGCGGGCTGCGACAGTCGCTGACTGTTTGCCTGCCATGGCTCTTTCTAAAGTGCAGATGGAAAAAGGACCATGGGATTGCCCCTCCAGCCACTCCACCTTTGGAGGTGGGATATGCTGCCGATACACTGTGGAACTTTAGTTCCCTAAACCCAAAAATAGCTTAAGTGAAGCCTCTGGTTTCATGCTGCGCTGGGCCTTGAATGGCTTACGGTGAGTAAATATAATCCTGTCAGGGCCTGGATCATCAAGAAAATAGCAGGAATTCTGTGTAAGAGGGCACACAGACATACTCACACTTTATAGATCAATTTTGTTATGTTTCTTATTTTAAATGGTTGAGGAGAATGGAAAGATGAAATTGAAGGCTAATAAAATCGGCTTAGGTAATTCCTATGCACCAGTTTTACACTACTGAAATAAAACACTGACCAAAAACCCAAAATCGTTTACAGATTTCAAGCTCACCTGGGATACAGATCATTACCGTTGCTGTATTGTGTAATTAAAGGTCATTCAACCAATGGAACAGAAAAGAATTTGTTGGAAGATGCAGCCCTTAAGCACAGCACAATTGCTGACATGTTCGCAATATAAACTCTTAATTGACTGTCTAACTAGTAAAGCAAACATCAGAGGAATAGTGCAGCTCGCACCACTGTGAGTTAATACGCATGAAGTGTTAGTACCCTGTGAGCTAGGTGTGGAAAGATGTATGCACATCCGTCACTGTCTGAGAGTGTCTGGCGTTTGCTCTCTCCTTTCTACGGATATACAGCTAGAAAAAGAATGCCCAGCATTTACAACCCGGGTCAGCAGGGGGATTTCAGGTGAGGACTTGACAGACTTAGTCCAATTCCCTGTCTGCCACAACCGCCAAAACACTGAGCGAGTCTCACAGGCACAAAGGTGTTTAGGTAAAATCAATCAAAGTTAATTACTTAAAAGCATTTGAGGTGCTGATTTCAAAAGGATCTCAAAGCTAAGTTTGGTTTTCTTCCTTTCCTTTTTCTCCCACAAGACCTATGACAGGAGCTCTGCCCTTTCGCGTTCACCCATCACGGAGTTCACTGTAGTGACTACGAAACCCAAGTTACATGAGTAATGGAAATAGCAGCTCCTACGTCTGCTCATGTGTCTTTTTAATGCAAACAGACTAAGAATTTAAAACATCAATTTATGCTGAAACAGAGCATTGAATATTAAATTGTTCTGTTGTGCAAGCTCCACCTCTAAGTGATTTTTTTCAGGCAAGGGTGTATTATTGATCATATTATGATGCAAATTACCAAGCCGTTAGTTTCTACTTCTTGCATTCATTGTTCCGATTCAGCTGATGTTTCACAAGGGGAGTGGAGCTCACAGCAGCTGGAGGAGGGCGATCCTGCCTGGGTCCTTTTGTCCCACTATGTTGTCCCTTACTGTCAGCCAAAGAGCTGCTGCTCACTCTTCGTGGCCCTGGTGCTAGTGCTGCCCTCTGTACAAGTCTGTAGCCAACAGGCGAGTTGGAAAGCTGACCTTGCGCAGAAAATGGGCTGGGCCAGCAAGCTGGATCGGCCGGCCCTGCCACCGGAGATTTCCTGGGGTTACCAGTGCAGCCTGCGCTACCCAAAAGCACTCCCTGTACTCAAGGACCGGCAGCTCCTTATTGCCTCGCTCCGCCCTTGACACCAGGATAGAGGGCTGCCTGCTCCAAGGGCTCGTCTCCATTCTCTCCACTGGCCAGCAACTCAGCCCCGTAACGGAGAAAATGTGGGCCCAGTCCATTTTCAGACAGGAGCTTCAGATGCCAAAAATAATGGCATTGGATGCCTGCAGTAGACTTGCCATAGAGCGGATGCAGTGGTACCTACTAAATGAAGAGAATCAAACAACATTACTGCTGGCTCTTTGCTGGCTAAATAAACTCCTCAAAATGCACTGCCAAATGTATTCAACCACTACGCTGCTGGATGAAAATCCTTTTACTTGGTATTTTTCCACCTATCATTCAGCACAGTGTTTTCGGTTTGTTTCCAGGAGGAGAGATGAGTTTAGAGGAAGTTAAGTGTTATTTACATGCTACCTATCCCTGGCCAACAGGGCTGTACGTCACCCACTGCTGGGCTTAGCGCCACTTCAATTTTAACTCTGCAGCTCTCCTTAACAAGTTCATTCTATTTCCAGTGTTGAGAAAGCAGTATTTTCAATCTATTCTTCCACTGTAAGTAAAGGTGTTTAGTGGAATTTTGGCAACACAAAGTTTATTAAATGATGCAAAAAGAAACAATATATGCATAAGGCATCAGGAGAGACTCGGTAACAACAGAGATGATTAGTTTGAAATGTTAGAGAAGCACTTCCTAAACTGCTGTACTCTCTGTTCAAATACTAAACAGATTTCAAATGCCAGATCTATTTGACCTGTCCAAGTACATAAACATGAAATGCTTTCTCTGAAAGGACGAACAGGAGCAGAGAATACAAAGATTGTTACAGTTCTCTCGCCTTATTTAGAAAACATTTCAGCAGAAGGCGTGGTTGTAATACCATGAGCATCACCATCGTCATGCGAACTTACCCACTCTGCTGCCGCCAGGTCCTTCATTTTCTTTGTGAAAGCCACTGCAAACCTAGTTAAATGGACAAAAAGAGTTCAGATCATCTGCTTAAAGTGTTTAAACATAAAAACAGAAAAGCACTTTAGAAAAAAATCTTTATAAGAACAAAGGGCAGAGGCTGATAAAAATTATTAAGGATGGAAAGACAGAAAGCATGATTTCTAGCTGTTTCAGCAGAAAACACTGTTAAAACAAATGGTATCTCTTTAGGCTTTACAACTTAGAGCTCCTGGGGGGTTAAAGTGAGAATTTCTTAAAGAGAAAACACAAAGAATGAGAACATCTCCCAGGTCATCTAGACGAATGTATACAGCTGCAGTACCGAGTTAGCATGTCCAGCTCCTACATTCCCGCAAGCTGCAACAGCCCCTTCACAGCCAGGGAACGAGGTGAGCAATCTTAGACCAGGTAGTTTCATACTGCTGGTGTTTGGCAACACCCAGTCCCGCTGCTGCATCTGGGAGGGAGTATTCCGCTCCCAAGCTTACTTCCACTTCCTTCCCTATGGCTGTTTATAAGGGCTCATCTGGACTTCTACTTCCGTGCCTCTGAGACATGTATGTACTGCATAACCATTCCACACACCAAGAGTTATGTCAGAGACCATTTAAAAGCAGCATTGATGCGAACAGTTTTAAAGATGGGGTGACTCATCACAGCGAGACTCCAGCCACGGGAGCCTCTAAACACCCTGGATAAACGCATTATTCTTTCTGGGAGCTTGGTGTCACCACGAAGTCATATGAGACATTTTTATGGAGTCAGTTAATAAAGACTCCCTGTTCAGACACGGTATGAAGAACCTGCTGGGCTGTAATGTAGCTTTTAAGTTGTGATGAAATAGAAACACATGCTTTGGCTGTTCTTAAATGGAATTTCTGTGTTAACTGGAACCACAAATGGGACCATTCCTGAAGACTATCAGTCCTGTGGAATAGATGTGCTTCAACACCTCCTTCAGATGAGTCCTAATGCGTCTGCTCAGCAGAATTCCTTTGTTTGAATTGCTTGTACAGACATTGAATATGAACCAGGTTATCACAGACTGCACTTTCAATTCAGTGTTTCTTGTGCATAGAATTAATGTCCCGTTTCTGTCCTGAGCCAGCCCTACGACATCTCGATGGTTAGAGACAAAGCACATGGCTAAGTCATAGCCAGAACAGTGTCTTTCCATGGGAGACGTGATCTTGTAATTTGAGGACATGAAAACACCATCATTCATTAGAAGTCACATAAACGCTGAATTATAACTCCTACTTACCTTTGCTGAAACAAACCTCATTCCCATACATTTGTTTTCTACTATCTGCTTTATGGCACTGCAGTGAATTTCACATATACAACCTGACAGCTTTAAGGTTATTAAAGCCTTTGCAAATGCTTGTGTTGTCAAGCTGCACATGCTCCCTCCCCGGCTTTTGCAATTACACTTTCCATACATCACATTAACAAGCAGAAAAAACCTGTTGCTCCTAAGTCTACAAAATACTGTTCAATAGAAACAAATACCCCAGAGGAATACAACCACCAGTTAGAGGGATTTGATTAAAAATGAAACACTCATTATAAAGCTAGACAGAGTTCAATACTGTGTTTTATGGAAACTGGGGGTATATTGTACCGGACAAGTAACCTACAATCCATAATACTTTCTGCTTTGAACCCTGCGATCAATAAAGGAAAAAAATAATTGATGTTTCTTTTAATAGCCACGCAATGAATAATACTTATTATAATACTGGAGGAGATATCCAGTCAGAATAACTTTAGCAAACTGAATTACTTTTCCTATAGCAGAGAAAATACCCTGAACTGCATAAGGATGCAGCAATAGATCCTGAAATCCTAGGAAATCCAAGCTGCTAAACTCCAGCTCCAGGTCCTAAATAATTATCATTAAAAGAACATGGAGTAAAGCACTGGTTTTGCATAAGCTGTATTAGCTGTATTTGTGAAAACCACATTCCAAAGACAGAACTGGATCAAACGGGCACACCCAGAGATCCTGGGTTTACACACTTTTCTTTTTGCGCGGTGCTGAATGGAACTGGCATTAGATTTCTTCTTTTCCTTCAGACCTCCTCAAAGCGTAACTTCTGATTATGTGGTACCAAAAGTAAACAAGTACATAGGTTTTGTCTTGAATGGGGCTGGAGGTTGCTTTTCAACTACAAGTGTAAGGTGTAAGAACCATGACTCCTCTGTGAGTGTGATTAAGTGCTGCCCGGAGGATGTGTCGACCCCCACATTCCACAGGGCACTACAGGCAGAGCAGCACATCTACGCCAGCACAATGTTGGCTGGGAACAGTTGGAACGTACAGGGCTATTAGCAAAGACAGAAGTACAGGATCTAAAACTGCTGCAGGTTCTGCCTGTAGCTCCTCA